AAACAGAGATCAACCCATAAGAGTGGCGTACTGTCAGGGGTTATGTACGAAGGTAACGAATGACCCTGAATTTCTATCCAACATCATGTGGACTGACGAGAGTACCTTCACACGTAATGGTATATGGAATCGCCATAACTTGCGATAGTGGGCCAGGGAAAAACCTCATGCTGTACGCGAATCTTCATACCAGTACCGTTTTTCGTTGAATGTATGGGCAGCAATTCACGGCAATCAGATAATTGGTCCAATTTTCATTAATGGAAATTTGACAGCTATCAGGTTTTTGGAATTGCTTGATGGCCCAGTGTCAGATTATACAGATCAACTGTCTGTAGCTCAAAGCTGGCGTTTGTGGTACCAGCTAGACGGAGCGCCTGCCCATTCAGTGGTGGCTGCCAGGGAGCGTCTTAATCACATGTTTGGTGAACAGTGGATAGGACGCTATGGGCCTACACGATGGCCACCTAGATCACCAGATCTCACGCCCTTAGACTTTTTTTGTGGGGATGTGTTAAAAATGAAGTGTACGCAACAGCCGTCACTTCAATAGAAGACCTGAGATCGAGGATAATAAGTGCATTTAATAAACTAAGAGCTTTGGCAGCAAATGACAACTTGTGTGCTAAAATACAAGGCAACATGATGCGAAGGTGTATTCGATGCATTGATGTGAACGGTAGGCACATTGAAAACCTAAAAATTTAAATTAATTTGATTACTATTGTATGTCTGATGTACTAAACTGGTGTACAATAAAGTTTATTCTTATTAAATAATTTTTTTAGTAAAAATTGATCTAGTGAATAAAAACTGTTGCGAGTGGTATTCTTATTTTAATAAATTGATATAGTGATTTTAAATAAAGCGCAAGTGAAGTAACTGATTAGTGATAAGAATGTAATGATTTTTTTCTTCATTAAGACTAATAAAGTAACAAGTAAGAAAATAACATACCCTTCAGCACGCGCCTCTTAGTATGTAGCAAAAGTACTACTACACACTACCGTATTACACTACGTACTACACCGTACTACACTACCGTATTTTTAGGTATGGTAAAGCTGTTAATCCTGAAGATCCTAATCAGGAAAATCTGCCAAATTTATAAAACTATTGTATTGGCATCAGTGCTTCATAAGTGTGCGAAATTTATTTTAACGTTTTGAAGTGGGTCAAAATCACGTTCAAAGATTCAGTTACATGCATACTGACATATAACTTCGCACTTCACACATCTCACACACGGCAGTCTGATCCCAAACTAGGCAGAGCCTGTACTATGGTAACCAGACTATTTACAAACATACTTATATAGTTCTAAATACATACATACACGGTGATTTTATAGGCGTTTTAGAAACGAAACATTTTAATTTGGAATCATCTATAGTACCAATAAAAATGGTTAAATCAATTGTAATGTTGACTCAAAAAAGTTTCAGTTTTAATATTCATTTTTACTCGATCGACTTGGAAAGTAGCAATGCACTGATCATTCGTTCATTATCTTATATGAATGAAACACGTCCGCAGCCGCTGCGTACCGCTGACGCTAACAGCAGCTGATAAAAGTATACCTATAGGCGCGAGCTAGCGAGTACTTACGTAGATAGACTCCAGTTTGTCCTTGATACTTTACACGGGCTTAGGACCGCCGGAAATACCTATTTAATTAAAACTTCTTTTCGATTATTAACCACGAATGTTCTTTTCACAACAAATCAATTTTTAAACGGACTGTAGGTATAAATATTTCAGGCGTATTTAAAAAATCGGAGCTATCTACAGAATAATTAACTTACATACCTATTTACAGTTTATTTACACAATTTACACTTCTCTGTATCGAAGCAACTGCACTGCACTGTTCAATACACAAACGTCCAGGGCCCCAATTCCGCTATTTTAATATTGTATCAATAGGGTGTCGATGGAGTGTCGTCGGAATAGTTTGGCACTTTTCGTAATCTGCTAACTGTAACAAGACCAATGGCCTCCCGATGACTTGTCACTGATACAAATGTTGTCGATGTCTCTGCAATAGTTTGACATACGGTATTCTGCTCATATTGACAGTAGTTTCAATGACGTCACGATGGCTTCAGGATGACTATTTGTCACTTAACTGCCATTGATCTGACACTGTCAACAACTAGACATAACATTAAATTATAACTTTACTATGAAACGTGTTCCGTGTTTAAAAATAAATATGCTTCCAATATCATATTTACGGTGGCAATTTTTAGAAGCTTCTTATAACGAAGACCGAAGAGAAGAGGCTACAAAACGCCGCCGAGCTCGTGCTTTATTGCGAAGTTTTAACGTGTTAACAATGATATCCGATGACGAGTTCGTCAAAACGTTTAGAATTAGTAAAAGCCTTGTAAAGCAACTTGCAGAGGATGTCAGCAGAATTATTCCACTTGAGCAGAGAAAGGATGGAATTTCTGTAATAATGAAGGTAAGGTTAATAAAATGAAAACAAATGGTATCGTTGTAAATAAAATGTATGCTTCAGTTACTTTCACCTTATAGTTTCCTGATACCTATTTTGTATTTCAGCTTCTGATAGCCCTGTCATTCTATGCTACAGGGTCATATCAAAGTTTGGTAGGGCAAAGTGCATTTCACAATGTATCACAAGCCACCGTGTCTAGGGCTGTGGGACAAGTGACCAAAGCTTTGAATGATCCTACCATTTATCACAAATATGTGAGATTCCCATTGGAACAGCAAGACAGGAATGACATAAAAGCCAAGTAAGTTCATACCTAGATGCCTTTTATTAATGTATTTATCATTGAAGGATTATCAATGACCTCTATAAAACATGAGAAAGTGAAGGCTTGCCCCTTATCAATATCATAAATATAATATATAAATATAAATGTTAAGTTGGTTTGTGTATGCTTTGTGCCTACGGCACTTCAGTATTGTATTGACGGCTATATTAAACAGACGTGTCATTGTATATTGAGAGTTTTATTACAATACTCGACACCAAATAAAGACTATACATACAAAACAGTACAGTGGTGACCCCGATAACTAATACACCTACGCCTTCAGTATAAAGTTCGTGCATATATTTTTTTCTGAAAAAATGACAACGGGTCAGCAACCATCGAGCGAAGGGGAGGTAGCGGTTGTTACAGTGTCTTCTAGAATTCCCGAGTTTTGGTGCGACCAACCACGCCTTTGGTATGTGCAGTGTGAAGCCATACTGGGACCACAGAAGCTCAGCGACGAGGCCAGATATAGTTTAGTTGTCACGAAATTAGGTAAAGACGTAGTGCAACAGGTCAGTGACATTCTTCTAAAGCCGCCCGAGGTTAAGAAGTTTGACACGCTTAAAGAGCGCTTATTAAAAATCTATGAAGAGTCGGAAATCAGACAATTTCAAAAGCTATTTGGGGAAATGGAGCTGGGGGATCAGAAGCCATCTCAACTCCTGCGTCGGATGAGGGACTTGGCTCGCGACAAAATACCCGATGACACTCTACGCATTATGTGGCAGGGACACCTGCCTTCTACGGTGCGAGGAGTGTTGACGGTCAGTGAAGTGAAGGATTTAGAACATTTATCGGCTATTGCGGATAAAGTCATGGAGACCACGCAACCATTGCAAGTGGCAGAAGTACAGGCCACGTCCAGTAGTTCTAGTGCCGATCATAGCTTTATTTTAGCGGAAATAGCTAAGCTGAGCCTAAAAATAAGAGAAATGGAACAGGACCGGAATCATAATCGTAATTTCAATCGATATCATTCACGGTCACGCTCAGCATCGCGAGGACGTAATATGACACGGCGTTCACCGAGCAGCCCGGACTGGCTTTGCTCTTATCATTATAGATTTAGGCATAGAGCGAAGAAATGTATAGACCCGTGCGCCTGGAAAAAACAAAAAAATCCGGAAAACTAAATGTGGTGTACTCGCAGGCGGAGATATGCACCATTACTCCTATACACCGCCTATGTGTTACAGATAAAAATAGTGGTTTAAAATTTTTAGTAGATACAGGTGCAAATATATCGGTACTACCATTTATCAAAAATAAGTTCTATAGTGGTAAATGTGAAGACTATAAACTTTACGCAGCTAATGGTACAGAAATAAAGACTTATGGTGTAAAAACGTTGAACTTAGATTTAAAGCTACGTAGACCCTACAGTTGGACATTCGTTTGTGGCAGAGGTCAAGCAACCTATACTCGGAGCTGACTTCTTGTCTCATTACACGTTATTAGTGGACGTTAAAAACAGAAAACTAATAGATTCACTGACTAGTCTACAGACTATTGCGTCTGTGGTTATGCAAGAAGAGCCTACAGTAAGGACAATCGACTACAAAAGTGATTATAGTGATATTTTGGCAGAATTTCCCAACGTAACGAAACCAATGAATTTTAAAAATACTCCATGTCATTCTACGGTACACTACATCGAGACTTCGGGACCAGCCGGACATACTCGTCCACGACCATTACCACCTGATAAATACAACAAAGTCAAAGCTGAATTTCAACGCATGCAAGAAATGGGGATATGTAGGCCTTCCAAAAGCAATTGGGCGAGTCCTCTTTATGTAGTTATGAAGAAAAACGGTGAAATTCGACCTTGCGGTGATTATAGGCAGCTCAACGCGATTACGAAACCCGATCGTTACCCAATACCGCGTATTCAAGACTGTACCTACTTGTTACACGGGAAGAGCATATTCTCCCGAATAGATATGCAGAGAGCATACCACAATATACCTATTTTTGAGAAGGATATCCCGAAGACTGCTATAGCGAAGTCGAGCGTACGTGTTATAGTAACAACGTTGTGCTTATCATTCAAATTTCATGTTTAATATCTACAACTTAGTGAATGTGACGTGCAAATAGTATTCATTATACACCAAATAACTAATTTATTGTTGTTGCTTATAAACTAGTTTTGCAAGGTGTGTACATTTTTAATTGCTTACCCACAAAAAATTTATGTGAATAATGGATGAAAACAGTACAGAGGAAGATGTAAGTGAGACGGAGGTTATAAAGAGATGCGAACAAGAGCTTAATAATATGATTAGAATATCAGAAGGGGGAAAAAATAATAATAATGAAAGTCGAATGGTAGAAAAAAGAAAAGAGCGAGATGAGGAGGGTAGTGCGGAGGATGATTTTATTACTATCGTCAGAAGAAGACCTAAACGTATGTTGAGAAGTGAAGCATTGGAAGTACAGAACAATATGAGGGTAGATGAAGAAAATAATGAAGAAACCCAAATTAATGTAAATCACGAAGTTTGTGTCAGTACATTAAACAGTTTACCCAAACAAGTTGCATTGGCCAAACTACTTCAATCTGAAAATATACTGAATGTTCTCAGAATTAAATACAAAAGTCAAAATAAAGTTCTTATCCAATTTAAAACTAAAGAAGACGCGGGAAAACTTCTAAATTGTCAAAAAATTAAAGAAATGGGCTGCCAGGCATATTTGATACATGAAACATCGAATTCCTACGGGGTTGTAAAAGGGATTGAATCGGATTTAAACGAAGAAGAACTAAAAGAAATATTGCAGTCGAATGATGAAATTTTATCAATTAAAAGATTAAAACGCCTAAATTCGGAAGGAAAATGGATAGACAGCGAAGCTATAAGACTTAGTTTTAAAAGTAAGATATTACCTCAATTTATTTATGCTTATGGCTGCCGATTTAAAGTTGAAGCCTACAAGTTCCCAGTTACTCAGTGTTCAGGTTGTTGGAAATTTGGCCATATAAGGAGGTACTGTCCTACAAAAAAGATTATTTGCCCAAAGTGTGGTGGAAATCACGATAATTGTAATATAAAAGAGTTCAAGTGTTTGAACTGCAAAGGGAGTCATTTTGTGTTAGATAGGAATTGCCCTATTTTTCTAAAGGAAAAAATGATTCGGAATATCATGTGTGATGAACAAGTTACCTACAGAGGAGCCTTACTGTTACTAACGAAACGTAAACAAACAGAAAATAAACAAAAAGGTGAAGACAACTCATACACACAGCCAATCACAACATCACTTAACCCTCAGGAAACGTATAGCAGTGTATTAGCCAGAGCAGTTGCAGGCAGCCTACCACAGTCTACTGATGAAGAAGAAAATAATTTAGAGGCAAATACAACAGGAAAAAAGATAATATCAAATCACAAGGTAAACAAGAGGAAAATGAGTAATAAAAATAAGAAAAGAGAATATCTCACACAGCAACCAGTGGATGAAGAAAGAGATTCATCAATGAATGATGAAGACAGTAAGACACAAAATAGTGAAAAAGCATATAAATTGGAATTTATGAAAGTGTGGTCTAAAATTAAATCTATTATCATGTCTCAGAGTAAGTTAGAAGAAAAAATTTTGTATGTTTTAAAAATTATATTTGAAGAAATGAAAAAGTTAATATGTAGTAAAATTCTTGGAAGGGCAATATTAGAACATATATCTAGTTTTATGTATGGATAGTACACAAGGTCATTTTAAGTTGAGAATATTACAATGGAATTCACAAAGCTTAAGCCCTAAACTTACATCATTTTCAGCCTTGTTGTTGCAAGAAAATATACACATAGCTATCATTAGTGAGACGTGGTTTAAGCGCGGAAATAACGTAAATGTAAGTGACTATAATGTATTTAGGCGTGATCGCGATGATGGCTATGGGGGAGTCGCCATAATAGTTCATAAATCGATTCAGTCCCATATTATTACATTAAATAGTAAAAACCCCGATATTGAAATCCTTTGCATCAAGTTACTTAATTGTAGGGACCTACAATATGTTGTCTCATTGTATTGCCCATCGTCAGTTTCAACTCAACCGGTCGACTGGAATGAATTGTTTTCACACTTTTCTAGGAAAACTTTAATAGCGGGTGACTTTAACGGCCACCATCCTAACTGGTCAAGTAAATCAAATGTGAGAGGTACACAACTTATGGATGCCGCTCTTGAATGCGGTTATATTTATATTAACAATGGTATGCCCACACGTGTTAAATTAGTTAATGACATTTTACAAAAGACATCTCCTGATGTAACATTTGTGTCCTCTGATGTGGCAATACAGTTCGATTGGCAGGTATTAAATGAAAATCTTGGTAGTGATCATCTTGTACTAAAGATATCAAGTGATATGTCCACTAGCCTCCATATTGTTGGAAAACGAAATTTTAAAAATGCTAAATGGAGTGAATATCGTCGCACCCTTTCGGAGATCATTAGTAATTATAACGATTACTCGGATAACGTTCAAAAAATGTATAACTTCTTCACAGACCAAATTGAATATGCTGCGGACAAATACATTCCGTATAAAAAAAATTGTAATAAGCCTCACGAAAAATTTAAACCTAAAGATTACTGGACACCTGAACTATCCCATATAGTGGCACAGCGGAGATTAGCCTTAAGAAACTTTCGACGTAACCCGACTCCCGAAAATTATAGTATATTACAATCTAAAACTATAGAATCCCAAAAACTAATAAAGAAAGCCAAGTTTCTTAGTTGGCAAACCTTTTGCAATTCCATTAGTGAAACAACGTCGGTACCTGAAATGTGGCGGCGCATGAGATGGACGAAGGGCTACAAACACCAGAGACCCTTTCCTCCCATTGAATCGCAGAATGAACTGTTGCATTCCTTAACGCCAGACTATGTCACGAATCAAAGCCCTAGATTTTTATCTATAAATTATGAGTTGGAATCAGAATTCACAATTCAAGAACTTGAAAATTGCTTAAAGAAGAAAGATTCGGCTCCCGGAGGGGACGGTATTTCATATTCAATGATTTATAACTTACCCTCTTCAGGGAAACAATTTTTACTTAACATTTACAATGATATACTTAAATTCAGCGTTATCCCATATCAATGGCGGAAAATAGATATAATTCCTATCCCGAAAGCAAATAATAATGGTAATAATGTAATTAAATTGAGACCGATCTCACTCCTATCATGTCTATGTAAAATTTTCCACCTGATGATTTTCAAACGTTTGGAGTGGTATGTGGAACATAACAACGTGTTATCACCGCACACTATAGGGTTCAGAAAATCACACTCATGTTTAGATTCCATTGCCCGGTTAGTATCGTATATTCAAGTAGGGATGTCTAATAGTGTACCTACGGTCGCGTGCTTCTTGGACATAGAGAATGCGTATAATAATGTCTCCATTGATGCAGTAACAAATACATTGGATGACATACAAGTAGGTGCTAAACTTTGTACGTATTTGTGGTCCTTTTTGAGCGAAAGACACTTAAAAATAAAAGCTTTCAATAATGAAGTAAATACGCATAGATGGACAAATAGGGGACTAGCTCAAGGAGACCCTCTTTCACCGCTGCTTTTTAATTTGGTTACCTATAAAATATGCCGTCAAATTAAAAACGTAATAATATCACAATATGCAGATGATTTCATAATTTATTATAAGGACAAACAAATGACAAGTGTTGAATTCTATTTACAAGAAGCACTAGACATGTTTATTGCACTGTTGGATGAACTAGGTTTAACCTTATCACCTACTAAATCGTATTATTGTGTGTATAGTAGGGGCCGTAGGAAAATAGTCCCAACCCTTAAAATATATGGAAAACCGATGGTATTAACTGAATGTATAAAGTATTTGGGTATGTGGCTAGATAGAAGTCTTCTATGGAATAAGCATATAAACGAATTAACAAATAAATGTTTGAAATATCTCAATGTATTGAAGGTCTTAGCAGGTAGTTCTTGGGGGATACATACTAGACACATACGTAAAATATATATTGCACTTATAAGGAGTCGAATCGATTATGGTTGCTTCGTCTACGATTGCAGTGCAAAAACGCATGTCAGTAAGTTAGACAAACTGCAAAATCAAGCACTTAGGGTTATTGGAGGTTTTATAAAAAGCTCACCTATCCATGTCATGGAAAGTGAACTAAGCATACCACCATTATACTTAAGGAGACAATACCTTGCCTACAAATTTATAATAAAGGCAATGTCCTGGTCAAATAATATAAGTATAAACATAATTTCGGAATTGAGTGTACTGATGCCTACGTCATACTGGATAAACAAAAAGAAACCTTTACTGGCTACCACCTTCAATGAACTGAGTGAGCTAAACATAGCCTCTTCTAATATTCTTAAAATGTTCACGTTAAACACTTGGATAACAGTTATACCGATGTATCAATTTCTAAAAATTAATGTTGAATATATCAAATATGGAAAAAGGACTTATGAACCTAATTTTTTGACCAGTGAAGTCGTTAAGGAAATGAATATCAACTATGATGGATGGTGTAAAATTTATACAGATGGGTCAAAAAGTGTAAATGGGTTAGGGGCTGCATTTTACCATCAGAATATTAATTATAAAACTGGTTTTAAAATAAATGAAGATATTTCGATAATGTCCCTGGAACTCATTGCAATATTCCAAGCTCTATTATATGCATTTCAAAATAAGTTTGATAATATAGTTATTTTTACGGATAGTAAAAGTGCATTACAACATTTGGCTCGATGCGCCTCTGGTATCAGAGGTGCATCGATAGCCTATGACATCTTGGAAATTTGTAACCAGAGTCTTAAAAATGGCATTAGGTTTATATTGCAATGGGTACCAGGGCACATTGGGTTAAAGGGTAACGAGGAGGCTGACCGTATATCTAAATTGGCAGTACAGGAGGGAACTGAATTAACGTATTTACCGGATTATTGGGAACACTATAAAACTTACAAATCTATTTGCTACCACAAATGGAAGGACAATTTTGATGAGGTGTCAAAAACTAAAGGAATATGGTATAAGGCAATACAGAGTGGGCCCCCGTGTGTACCCTGGTTTGAAGATTGCAACTTGGGTAGAAGTTATGTAAAACTAGCACTAAGACTCCGTTCGGGGCACTTTCCGTCGGCAAAGTTCGCATTTCTAATGGGAAAAGTAGAATCACCAAACTGTAATGTATGCAATCAGCTAGAGGACTTGCAGCATTTGCTGATGGAATGTGTCAGGAACAACACGGAAAGAGAATCAATAATGAAGGAATTCAATTTGAATAAATTTGACGTTGGACTAACACACAGTATTTTAGCAAACCCAAAAACTGAAGTGGCCCAAAAATTGAGCAGTTTGGTATTGGTGCCTTTTAATGATTCTCGTTCATAAGTTTATCTAATTGTATGTATAGTAGAGAATAAGTTAGTATAAGGTACAATGGAGCTGGCGTGCCCATGTGGGCAAAAGTTCCTTCAAAACATTAGAATAAAAAAAAAAAAAAAAAAAAAAAAAAAGAAGACTGCTATAGCTTGCCCTTTTGGTTTATTTGAGTTTTTAAGATTAGGCTTCGGATTTAAAAACGCTGCAGCCACATTCCAACGTTTTCTTAACGACGAGGTATTGCGAGGCTTAGACTACATATTCATATATATTGATGACATCATTATTGCATCATCATCAGAAAGTAAACATCGAGAGCATGTACGTGAAGTATTGAAACGACTGAATGGATATGGCATTACAATAAACATGGCCAAGTGTGAGTTTGGAAAAACGGAGCTAAATTTTCTGGGATTTCGTGTATCGAAAGAAAGTCTTAGACCGTTAGATGAACTGGGCCCTAATTCCGCTATTTTATGTTCACGAGAAACCACTGTCATACCACTGACACGCTATTGGAGATGCCATCGAGTGGCCACTGACATCGGTCAACTTTTCGGTAATCTGCTAAAATAAATTGACAATGTGTCAATGGACTGTCGGTGTAGTGACAATAGCTCATCAGTTTTAATATTAACAACATTGCCATATCTGGAAAATTAAATATATCATTTCCTTACAAATTTAAAATATAATACGTTTTTATTTAAACATTATATAAGCTTTTTACATTTATATTAATTGATCATATTTTTGATACAAATGTATAAACGTGGTTATAACTACATGAAACACCGTAAAAAAATTAATTATCGTTGGCTGCTTGCAAGTGTTATTGCCACACGAAAAAAAAAGTTACAATATCTAATATCTAACATTGACATTGACGGAAGACCGGCAAAATTTTAAAAAGTTTTTAAATAGTAAGTACATACTTTTGTAATATTTAGATGTTATTGATAAATAAAACTAATATTATATTTTTGTACCAAGAAATGTTAAAACGAAGTTATGTGATACAATATTAATAAAATTATGGTTTAATACTAGTGCATCATCGTATTGTTTACCTTGCACCTTGGTCATTCAAACTTTTCTAAACTCGTTGGAGGAATGGCTAGTATTGAACAACTTGACGCTTTGATATCCTTCATAGAAAGCCACAAGGAACTGGCCTTGGGAAGGTGTTCCCGATCAAAAGAAGGACGCATTCTAACGAAGCGCTTGTGCCAAGTTAGATCGCCGGAGAGCTGGAGAGTAGTGAGTATTAACTGTATATAACAAATTTGCTCTAACTACTGGGCCCCCCTACCAATATATTTCTTGATAAGAAGGCAATATAAGGGTTTATAATACTGAAAAAGAATTATATATAATAAAAGTAATATATATATTAAGTTAGGGTAACATAAAGTAGTCCACCACATTTTCAGCGTTGGCAAATATCAGACAACTTGACATAGTAAACTCATAGTTAAGCAGATTTCCTTCTAATTCTAATGTTTGCTTACACTGTTAAGGCAAGCAGTAACTAAATTATAACTTTGAGATAAAAGTAACAGAGGCAAACTTAAGACTTCTAAGTACTGTTATTTGTTATTCTGTACTAATTCCATCATGGAGAATAACTCTAGATAATCTTCTCACTAAGCTTTGTTGCTTGAACTACTCAAATTTCCTTACTTCATTTGATTAATTCTATAAGCTAATATTTATTTTATTATGTCAAGTTTTATAATGAATACAAGTCTAAGCTCCTCAGGAGGGTAAAAAAACAAAAGGCCGAAATTCAGGCTACAGGTGAATGACCTTTCTTAAATTATTCTTATTTATTAAAATCAGTTACTAAGGTTAATATGCAGAACTTTTTATATTTTGTTTGTTTAAGATTAACTGCATTGTTTTCAGGAGGTGGCCCCGCAGCTAACATCACCTTGACACCATTACAGGAGCGACTGTATGATATTATTGGTAGAGATGTTGGGGAACCTCTAGAAGGTGTCCGTCACAATCCCCTATTTGTGAGTTTAATATATCTTATTTCTATTGTGCTATGTGTAACTTTTGCCCTTTTTTAAATTTTTTAATTAATAACACAAAATATAAGTACTGCCAAATTGTAGATACCAATATCTACAATTTGGCATTACATATATTTTTTATTTGCATGTTTTGTTTTCTTATTGAATAGAGCCTAGAAGATAATGCTGGTGTTGGGGTGCATGAAATACCCTTTTCAGTGTGAGTTGTCATGATATTTTTATTTCTTCATTTTATTACTAACATACTCTGGAAGCAGATTACCTACATACAAGCTCAAATGCCTGACTTGCCCTACTAACATGCCCAGATTTTATATATTCAAATACAAGAGACAAATAATATTATTAATAGCCATAATACACAAAATAAAGAACTTGTTAGAACAAACAGAATAGCAAGATGTTCCACAAGCTGTCCCAGTTCCAAAAGTATCTGATAGGGTTGCTCTATTTTGAAACCCTGGCAGTATGCATTGTTTAACTAATATGTGTAAACTAAATAATGCATAGCGGCGGTGGCTAATATTATCATTTTTATGAAAATTAAAATTATAATATCAAGAATGTTAACTTTATTACAGACATAACACACAGGCCCAAGCAGTGTCCTTTGAGGTGACTCCTTCTTTGGAGTCAGCAAGCTCTGCAATATTCGCTAGTGCTGTGGAGCCAGTAATCTCCATAGTGGACTCAGCTAACTCTACAGTACAAGCAAGTCATGTGGAACTCATTGGCACTGTGGAGCCTACTCCTCGTCCATACAGCGGCTCTACACATCGGCGACGTCGTAGACGTCGAAGTTTGGAGGGATCTCAACCCCGAAGTGGTAATTTTACTTTTATTTAACTGTATATGTTCACAATACCTTTTCATATGGACAGAATCATGTAACGTAAATATATATTTGCCCTGCAGCACATGAACCAACAAGTCGTTTAGAGGAGGCACAACGCAGGTTAGCCGAAATGGAAAGCGAAAGGACAATGGCTTTTACGGCTGCTTTGGACCGTCTGGCTACTACCATTGGTCAGCCGTTGGATCGTCTGGCCACTGTCATTAGCCAACTTTTGCAAGTATACCATAGAAACAGCAGTGGTTCCCCGCCTCTGGTAGGCTTATTCCTTCAAGTAGAATCTTAAGCATCAACACATAATTTATATTTTTCAGAGATTTTTATTTTTCAGAGAAAAAGGGCCAGGATTATTATCCCTTCAGAATCTGACTCCGATTAAATTAAAAGTAGGTAACAAAAACACTTATGGCAGTAGTAAATGTTTTTAATTTTAATAAAATTATCTTTCTGCCCACAATTTGTTCACAAGTGCCTGCTGCATGGCCCGGCCTTCCAGCAGGTCACGATTAACCCGACCACCTATCGTTACTACGGTCTCAGCCTCTGCTCTCAAATCTTCTTGAACCTAAAATTAATGAAACAACAGGGATTAGGTATTAAAACTTAATTAAAAACTTAGGTTTAAATTGAGACCCAATCAATGAATTTGAAATTTTACCTGATATTGACGCAAATTCTCCGCTACAACTTCCTCAGGCAGTAAAGGCAGGACAGGATTTTTGGCGCGGTTCGCAATGTTGTGCAGAACACAGCAGGCGTTCACTATTTGCCCTGCAGTCTTTGGAGCATAATGAAGTGTTCGAGTACCAAGCAAACACCTAAAAATAAATATTGATAATTATACTGAGTATTAACATTTTCTTTCATTTTCAGAATTTTTCTACATCTAATCAAGACTGATTAATCCAATCAAGACATTAATCCAATCAAGACTCAATAATAGCTTTACGTTAAATAAAAAAATATTTATCTAGCACTATGTTGTTTTACTATTCCAACTGATGGCATACAAAAAATAAGATATTTAGTTCATTGGCCTGTGACATGAGAAACATGTAATTCATTTGGTAGGGTTAATTCCATCTTTACCTGAACCGTGCTTTCAACACCCCAATGCAACGCTCAACAGTATTGCGCGCAGTTACATGCAAATTGTAATAATATTGCTGTGGAGTTCCCTCAGTGGTGTTTAAAATTGGTGTCATCATCCATTTGCGCAAGGGGTATCTACTGTCACCTAAAATAAAGTAATTTTAATTTTTTTTATTAAATTCCTTATTTTATTAATAACTAATAGCCCCTTTTTTTTTTTAATTTGCTGTTATGTAAAGTTTTTTATCAGTCAATTATTACTGATAAAAAACTAAAATATACAAATGGTTTCTAGACATTGTACATTTTATTCCAAGATTTCATCATCATCAACAGCCTTGAATAGTCCACTGCTGGACATAGGCCTCTCCTGAGAGAGGAGGTTTTGGCCTACATACTCACCTACTAAAAATGAACCATCTCCACCGGGACCAGCTAAACTAATTAAGTTTTGGCTGAGTGGATTACTCTGCCACACACTGGAGTCATGGGCTGCACCAGGGATACTGGCATCGACACACATGATTTGAAGATCAGAGTCACATACCTGTAAATTATTGATTGCATTAAGCAAACTGAAAAATGACTGACTGATAAATAAACTGGTGCAAATAAATACTTACAATCATAACATTTAATGAATGGTACCCTTTTCGGTTAAAATATCGTTCTTCATGTACGTGAGGTCTCAAAATAGCCACATGTGTGCCATCAATGCATCCAAGAACCCCAGGGATTTTAAATTTATGATAGAATCTAAAAAGCAAATAATGTTGTTAATTACCGACAAATTAATACCGACTACGTGTAGATCCATACCTTATGCATGGTGGAGTCTGTGTAATGTACACCATTACACAGACTCCACCATGGATAAGTTTTATAAAATACTAGCTGTTCTCTGTCATGCTTCGCTGTGATACATTGTGGTTGCAAAAAAGGTGACCAAAATCTTTAAAGAAGGATGTATATCGTGTCAAAATATGAGCTCTATCAGTGCAGAACTTTTTGAGTTTTTGAAGCATACACAAACCAACTTAACATTTATATTTATATATTATATTTATGATATTGATAAGGGGCAAGCCTTCACTTTCTCATGTTTTATCGAGGTCATTGATAATCCTTCAATGATAAATACATTAATAAAAGGCATCTAGGTATGAACTTACTTGGCTTTTATGTCATTCCTGTCTTGCTGTTTCAATGGGAATCTCACATATTTATGGTAAATGGTAGGATCATTCAAAGCTTTGGTCACTTGTCCCACAGCCCTAGACACGGTGGCTTGTGATACATTGTGAAATGCACTTTGCCCTACCAAACTTTGATATGACCCTGTAGCATAGAATGACAGGGCTTTCAGAAGCTGAAATACAAAATAGGTATCAGGAAACTATAAGGTGAAAGTAACTGAAGCATACATTTTATTTACAACAATACCATTTGTTTTCATTTTATTAACCTTACCTTTATTATTACAGAAATTCCATCCTTTCTCTGCTCAAGTGGAATAATTCTGCTGACATCCTCTGCAAGTTGCTTTACAAGGCTTTTACTAATTCTAAACGTTTTGACGAACTCGTCATCGGATATCATTGTTAACACGTTAAAACTTCGCAATAAAGCACGAGCTCGGCGGCGTTTTGTAGCCTCTTCTCTTCGGTCTTCGTTATAAGAAGCTTCTAAAAATTGCCACCGTAAATATGATGTTGGAAGCATATTTATTTTTAAACACGGAACACGTTTCACAGTAAAATTATAATTTCTTCTTCTTCTTCTTCCTTTAATTCAGTGGCTCCATCGGATGTCGATGATTTTGCCAATGTCTAGGTGGGAGGTAGATTTATTAGTTAATAGGTTGAAAATATTTTGAATACCAAAAGGGAATTGTTGTGATTTTAATAATTTCTGTTTGTGGTTCTGTGGGACAGTAGAGAAAAAAGAAAAAGGACAGTAGAAAAAAATATAGCAGTAAAGGTATTAGGAAACTTTATAAATTTATTTTATTTATACGAATACTAGAGTTAATAGATAAGCCAAATTAACGGGTCGGGATATTTGTTGAGGGAGTAGATCATACAGAGGTACGACCAATTTAGGACAAGAAAAGAAAATATGTTCCAGAGTGCCTTCATCGAGACCACACTCACATAGAGAGTGATCACGAACTCGAATTTTGGCAAGAAAAACTGGGGTACTGACAAATCCTAATCGTAAACGAATTATAGTAGAGGTGGCTGACTTATTAACATGTTTTTGTTTGAAGAACCAGGATCTAGCAGGAATTAAGGGTTGTAGAGAGCCGTAAAATTTACCCTTGATCATTCTACTGCTTTGCCATGTGTTATTCCAGGACTCAGTCAATGAAAGTTTGGGCCCAAGGGGGCG